CTACAAGTTTTGTTTTGTTTTGTTCTTGTTTGGTTTTGTTGTTGAAAAATGTTTGTTTTTGTTTATGTTTGATTTTGTGTAATACATAGCTGGATAAGGCTCTATATGCGCATTAGCTTTGTAAAAATGTATAGACAGTTAAACCATGACATGTCCATTGACTGATTGTTCATTGTGCTATTTGGCAAATGTATATTGAATTCTTGAATATGTTATGATTACAATATTGTGTTTGTGTTCATGAAATAAAGATATTGACTTTCATCTTTGGTTGTGTTATTACTGGGTGTGCTTCTACATCTCAAGGTTATAATGATAACAACTGTAGCTTGTGTATGACGATTGAATCATGTTGAGAAAGAAGAAATCAACCATATATAATACTATTTACACACTTTATTACATATATACATTAATACACTTTGACCATGAGACATATACATTGATATATTGGATACAGTTTTAATTCATATATGTATTCATATTAGACACAAGACTCATCCATATATAATACAAACAATGTGGAGTTCACAGTTCATCATGATCTGTATCATCATGCTCAGACATGTCAACAAGTTCTAAATCTTCAGCCTGGCTCAAGTCAACATGAGAGAGAATATCTTTCACGACAGGTTTCATCCACTGAGTGATTTTAGCATCTATTTCTTTGGGGTCCATGTCAGGGTCCAGGGCTGTGATTTTCTCTAATATAGGCTTGAAGAGGGGTCCATATCCAAAATAGCTGGCATAACGAACGGCTATCGCAAGTCTATCAAGAAAAGTAGTTTGCCAGCATTTTTGTAGTTGTTTCTCAATCCATCGTTCATTCTTTCCTTTATCCTCAAAGTCCTCCTTTTTCTTCCAGATGTCCTCCTTACAAGCTTTCAAAGTTTGTTCCCACATGTATTCAATGCCCTTCACTTCTCTCTCTTGATCAACTTTAGTACCTGTCTCTACTGGACGCAGGATGTCATTCTTAGTATCATCAGCTGCATCCAGTTTTACTCGCTTCTGCAGAGGCTCGCCGTCATTCTCAGGACACCAGGTCCTAACATGACGTTGAAGGTCATGATTGTTTTCAAATACAATACCACACTCGTCACAGGAAGGCATGTTTTCGTCTTCTGAGTTAAGAGTGTTCGCCACTACCTCAGAGATGTTCACCCTTTGAGCGTCGGGAGTCAAATGACGCGGTGGCTCAAGTTGCTCCTCTTTTATAGACCGGATCCCAGTCTCGCTTTGTCTTGATTCTGGTGCGGGATATGGTATGTATCCTTTTGGTATTTCTGGGACTGAGGGTATGTCTGCTTTTGTGACTACATTAGGTTGTAGTCTATCTGATTCAAGACAGGTGGGTCGTAGGTCGATAGTCAGATTGCCAGAGGGCTTTTGAACAGCTGTCTCATACACTGACATCAACCTATCAGCATTGTTGGGGTAGATACGTCTGGCAAACAAATGGACTTGTAGTCTATCCACAGGAGAGTTAAATAGAGAGTCACATAGTGGGAATTCAGAGCGATGTCACGTGACTCCTTCCCCGCGGAAATAAATTTTGTAGCAGCAGAAAGACAATAACATTTTTGTGATGTGAAGTTCGTGTAAATAACTGACTGACACGTGTATCATCCTTAGCTTCACACATCATGTCATCCAACACCATCATGTTGTTATTTCTAGCATCCAAGTAGGTATCGTCAAGTACATTGTAAGGAATTCCTTTCACAAACTTCACATGGGGCAACTGTTCACTGATCACCTGGTACAGGGGCTGCCATTGGGTATAGCACCAGATAATGTGATTAGGTGCTGGCTGTATACATTCCTTCGTGAGAAGGTTGTAGATAAACATAGATTTACCACTGCCAGTAGGGCCCACAACAACTGCATTAGAGGGGATGGTAAACTTGAAATGTTCTTTATCATTGAATTGATTGTGGTTTCGCTGTTGCTTATGCATTGAGTTATGCGGCGGCGACGGTAATTGTGTCTGCGGCGGCGGTAATTGTGTCTGCGGCGGCGGGGTAATTGCGTCCGTGGCGGCGGCGGCGGTGGATTTTCATAATCAATAATGTGCTTATGTCTCCTGTGTCTCAGCATAACATCCCTCCTTGAAAACCGTCTCTGACAATCGGGACATGTTGCTTCCATGGTGGTTCTGTATCCAATGAGAAGTGCATCACATCTATCCTTATTTATACACCCTGGAGGTCTTGCTCTGGGATCCAGCTGTTGAATTTCTTAGGATAACCCATCCATTTAACATACACCTCTTTTCTACCAGCTCTCTTCCTCTTCTTCAAGACTTTCTCAACACGCCACATGGTGTCTGCAGACTTATAGACTTTCTGAAGTTCACTCGCATAAAATGTACCTCTGATTGGATCCTCAGCCAGGTCCTTGACTTTATAGACTGGTATCCCATCCCTGTAGTACCGTCGGCTGATAATGAATATTTCCTCTGTCCATTTCTCCTGATAGTCACGTTGAAAGGCATGTCTCAAATGTGACAGTCGTACCTGATCCCCTTCTTTTAATTTAAAGGCTTTCCGTCTTCTTTCATTCATCTTCTCTGCTTTGGGTTTGACTTGTTTGTGCAGTGGATCAATGTACTGTTCATTCCAAACAACAGATTCATTGTTTGCGTTGATATCAATGGGTGAACGTTCATTCAGCGACCTATGAGGTCTCTGGTTATAATCATTCACCAAGTCTTGCAAAACATCAATATAATGGTATAATTGTTTGAAAGTAAAGTATCTGTACATAGTCGCCTTAAGGGTTCGTATGACTCTCTCGGCATAAGATGCTTTGGTTTCATTCTGAGTGACATAGTAGGTAATACCCTTGTTTGCTAAATATGATCTCACTTTATTGTTATCAAATTCCCGACCTTTGTCGGATCTGATAATGTGTGGAAGAGTAGCACAAGCAAATATCTTCTTCATGGTCTTAAGGACTGCGTCTGGTGTTTTATTTTTAAGGGGTTCCACCCATAGAAATCGAGTGAATACATTGATAGCTATCAATAAGTATTTCACACCGTCATTATCCGAAGCTATATTGGAAACATCGGCCAAATCAATATCCCACCGATCGTTCAAACCAGTTGAGATCACTCTGTTCCGCTTGAACTTGTATCTAAGAGGTCGCTGAAGTGAATAAACATCTTGAGAAGCGAGCCACTTCTTGATGTGATGTAAGCTGATGTCAAATTTCCCTTCCTTTTTCACCACGTGATATAACGTAGTTGAACCCGAGAAGGAGGCTGGGTGTTTGGGATTAAAGTAAATGCTGGACAAATACCCTTTCCATCCTTCCACGGGCATGGTTGTAGGAGAAATGATATAAAAATAAATTGCATATGTTTTAATAGGAAACCATGTTTCATTCAGAAGCGATCGGTTTACACAGGCTATGACTGGCCGACTGTGTGACCTTGTTTCTGTATAGACTTTCCCATTTATTGTACACTGAAATATAACAGTACACACGTTGATATCCCTTTTAAGATGTTAAGTACTGCCTCCAACAACTTGCGAGTCAGTTTTCCTGTTTGGATACATACAATCACGTTCGGTCTATGACAATCTCACTACCAACCGGACTGTACCGTTCTTCTGCTTTACAAACAAGCCCTGTCTCCGTGCTTGAATATGGTCATTAAACAATAAATTATGGATGAATGCTGGATTAGTCGCCCTCCAAATGGTATACCATTTCTCGCTATCCTTAGACTGGGGGATTTTTCACTTCTAAAAAATAGCTCGTGTATTGCACCACACCTTGTCATGACACATTTCTATAATTAGCTCGGCACCATCGAAAACTAGGTCAAAGTGGGGCAGAACCGGCCTTTACCTATCATCACACAGCACATCCTGGGAATCCTGCAACGAACTGAAGTGCCGTAATACTTTGATGGCCAGCGAAGTTGCTGGTGGTCTATAGCCCCAGTTGTATTTCATACTAAATAACACACTGGTAAAGTTGTTGTTTTAAATTATTTTGATTTGGTTTGTTTAATACCTAAACTTTGACAGAGAAGAGCCGATTTACTATTCTTGATCGACAGACATTTAATGATAGGTGAGGTGAGGTGAAATTGGGTATAACGTCGTGCTTGAGAATATTTCGCTCATATGAAGACGTGCATACGTGTGTATGTGTATGTGCGGCTTCTTGTACTAGCCCTGACTGAAGCTGGTTTTATAGTGCTAGCCCACAGAGATACCATGCCGCAGTGAAGCATGAATACCCCACTCAGACACATTATACTGACTCCGAGCCGACCAGTCCTTGTTGTACCCATTAATGCCGAGCGCCAGGCAGGGACCAACACGTACCATATTTAACGTCTTTTGGTGTAATTCACATGTTGAATAGCTACTTAGCCATTTAAGAGTTAAAACTTAACGTCACATCAGCAATATCTCAGCCATATAATGACGAGATACGTTTTGCATATTCTACATTTAAGTTGTTAAAATTCGAGTGATCAAAGGACTGCAAAATAGCTAGAGCGTCACACATGGTATTTATAACTAGCATGGAAATCTAAAACTCTTTTACTATTGAAGACAATACAACAACTAAATTATCACAAGAATACATTTAAAACTAGTAATTAAATCTAAAATATCTTAACTATAGATACATTACAATATAAAAACAGGCTATGTGTCGCTAACAGCTGAAGGTAGATCACAACACTAGGTACCATGGGGACTTACCGACAGTTTTATGAATGTCAGCTTCTTTTGGAGTATATCCTTACTCCTCGTCATGATTCACCTGATATGGAGTAAGGAGTAAGTATATGCTACGAGACATTGTGTTCCTCACAATAAAGAAGTTGACATCCACAAACCCATCTTGTTATGTGAGTCACTTCTAGATTCCATTCAAGAACCTCAAAGTATGTAAACTAAAAATGCCATATATTTGTGATCATGTATACATTTCTGTCAGATATATACAGTTTTTTTCTAATTTGATTTCTGCAGGTAGACTAGGAGAGCTGAGGAACTCGTGGCTCATGGTTCTGGCTGTCAGCAACTCATTGTGGCTCATTCTCATCATCACTTTGGCAGCTAAAACCCAGTTCAAAATCTTTGGTGCGAACTCATTAGGTGCGTATTCCGGAGTATGTGATGATAAACTAAAGACAGGTCGTGAAGGACACTTATTGGATTTGGTTGTCTCGTTACGCATACTATCAACCTCTGGGTTGTCAGGTTCAGAGTCGAATGCTTACTTGATATGGAATGACCAATTCGGTACCCGTCAAGATCCGGGCTAGAATTGATCTTCAGTAACCTGTGCTTGTCGTAAGAGGCGACTAACGTAATCGGGTGGTCAGGGTCGCTGACTACCTTGCAACTCGTCATTGTATCCCAGTTGCTTAGATCGATGCTCATGCTGTTGATCACAGGGTTGCCTGGTGCAGACTCGATTATTTACAGACCGCTGCCATAAAGCTGGAATATTGCTGAGTGCGGGGTTAAACAATCAACCAACCAACCAACCAACGAACCAGCCTTGACCATTTTGGTGTTGGGCGGCTGCCTCTGCTATACAGAACTACTGATAACATATTGTCATGTTTTTGCATTTTTGGAAATCAATGTTATGTTGTCATACTTACATCACTGTTTTATTCTTCAGCATAGTAACCTATTTCTGTATTCTGAACTTGGTCGATGACTGGTAATTGTCATGAACGAAGTATTTGGGGCAAAACATTACACTTTCGAGAAGATTTCCTGAACTCACATAGATTAGCCCAGCGGTTTAAGGATTTAGCCGTCACGTCGAATGTCCGGGTTCGACTCCAACATCAGTGCAATGGCCGTGAAATTGCTGGGATATTCCTAAAAGAATCGCAAAACATAGCCACAAACCCTTCATTCAAAATCTCTAATTATTTGGAAAGTAGAAATATCAAAATTAACACAATGTCCTTAGTTTCAATGAAATGGCCGAATGCACTCTCGTGTGAGTTTGCATTCTGGTCAATCTATCACTTTACAATCTGATTTGTAAAGAGGCCGCAGATTTACGCTTTTCCTGCAGTGCGTACACCTAGTGTTATCACTGTTTGGTAACGGCTCATTCAGTTTTACAGTTATCTAGTTTGCACTTACGCCAAACAGAATTTGTTCCAGACTGTACATAGACTAGCATTGCTGTTTCATAGTTTGGAGTCGAACTCCGTATTCTCGCTGTTGGTCGAAAGGTGTTGTTTCTATACCTGCCTTGTATGAACTGTATTTCCAGGTCTGAGCTTCCTGCTGATATTCGGCACCCTGCTGGTGATACAGTTCCTGGCCATGATCATCCACCGCATCTCAACTCTCGTCCATTTCGTGGCCAGGGCACCGTTCAAATATGGCGAACCGATGGCGACCTCCTGGTCCTTCGAAAACCAGCTCGTGCCTAATGATTCCGAGTTGCAAGACGACGTGGAGACCATGCGAGCAGTAACGGATGATGAGTCAAGACAACAGGATGCAGAAAGGAGACATATAGATTCTTCTTCTGGGAGTATTTCTGCCACAGCTCCACTTTTGAGTACTTCAACCCAACGAGAGCTTAAAACACCGCCCTTTTAAACTGAGGGCTAAGCTTCGATGAACATTTGTTTTTTCTTTCCCGAGTGAATTATCATGTGGCTCGTGCCTCACCACTATTTCTGTATATTTTGATTGTTTTCACCTGGCAGGAACAATAGTGTCGCAGTTGTTGTAAGTTTTGCTATACCTTAGTATGTAGGATATCCAAGCATCAAAACTACAATTACTTAAGTGTTTTTGTCATCAAGCATAATATTGTGGCAGGTGTATCACAATTCGTCCTTCCTTAAACTCGTTGACATGGTGCTCGGAAATTACAACTTCGAAACGTAGGGAACATTTTGCTGCACACACAACAGACATTTCTATGATCTATTAGGAAGGCATACATATTTGCAAAGGTTTTCAGGCGCACCTTCCACATAAAGATTCGTTGTGCTTTGACGACTTGATTTCACTATGTGGTAAAATGAAGGTGTGTGTATTTCATATCACATGGAATATTGCACATAATTGAATAGAAACATAAAAATACCAGCTTCTTCTTTTAAGTCCAATAAATCACAAAAATGGTAACTGAAAAAGGGACAAACTAAAGGTACATTCGCTGTTGCACACGTAAACCACATAGGTAGATCGACAAAATTATTTTCAAGGCATCAGAAAGATCTACCATACTGATAGATACATTGGAAACGTCCATGTGTGTGTTATAAGATTTCATGAGGTTTTAATAGAAGAACTGTTAGAAGTTTCTATTTATGGCTGTGTCATATTGAATTGCATAATACAAGCAACTTCGAATTGCTGTCGTCCCCTCCTTCATTACACTTGCAATATGAGTCATGTGTATTCCACCCGATTGTTCAGGTGTACTTGGTTGACACATGGCATCGGTTCTCAATTTCGCAGATCGATACTCATGCTGTTGTTTACTGGGTTGTCTGGTCCAGATTCGATTATTTCCAGATCGTCCCCTTATAGCTGGAAGATTGCTGAGTGCGGCGTTAAACTTAACTCACTGACTCACTCATTTCGGCTACTGCCTCACTGTCTGTGACGTGTACCCCCACTGAAGCAGGTTACGGTTACATCATTACCTTTCGATATTGATTCAGGAAGGCATGATCATGATATAGTATAATCGCAAAGATTCCTCGTCACTCTAGAATTTATTTTGTTGCTAATATTCTGTTCAACTATTCGATAGCAAACCAACACCGTACATTTTCAAACAATTTTAGCTGACTGACATAAGAGAGTGACAGTGGATATGATTCGCTGCACCTTTAGAAGTACAACAATAAATATATATACGTTGCTAGTCGAAACTACTACACGAGAAATCAGTACTGTATGGAGTGTTGAAATTTTATTGACATTCTAAAAGCTACGTGATAACTGACAGTTATGACAAATGCATTGATATACTTTAGAGAGATGGGAGTTGAATGAATAAAAATATATGATTAAATCAGCAATATAATGAGAACAAGCCAAAATCAAGAAAACAAAACACCTCTAGATTGTATAGAAAAGGAGTTAAACTTAATAATAAAAACATCAAAAAATCAATATAAATCTACTACAACAAGCCATACAGCAACAAAAAACACATCTAGATAAAAAAAAGAAAAGCAAAGAAAACATGATAAGGACGCGAATTTGATTACATAAACTACTAATGGTATTAAAACCAACATGGAAGAATAAAAAGATATCACCACCCAGATAAACAATGGCAACGCAATATACAAACGGGCAAAACATTGCAAATGGACCATGCTTCATGAGGACTTTCAGAACTCATGCTATAAAAAAAATATACTTTGAAAGAAGTCTCATCTATCATATTGATGATACAGTCATTTTACACTACTTCAGTCCACTTCAAGACAATAGCCACCAATATTATCAGTTATCAAATTCTACCAAATCTAAAAGGTATTCTATTTCATGTGAAACAAATCAAACCATTATGCAATGTTTTATAGCAGACACAAACCACTTTATTTTAAATGTTCACAAATTAAGTAAGATAAAGTTCATGACTCATAAGAAGTTTCTCATCGATGACAACAGGTTACACAATCATAGATTCTCAGTTGGCGTCAAGGAAAATATCACCATCTAAATATATGTGATCAATGGAATACACATCTAGATAGTCTACAATAAATCATATCATGCAATAAATGTTCGTATTTACACTTCACTGTACTGGCTGGTGTCTTGATTCAGTGTTCAGACACAATTTGTAATGAACGAGAAACATATATATTGCCAAAAATTGCCAAAGCTGCTGGGTTTCAATACACGACCTACGCTATGCAAAACAAAAATTATCTGTGACTATGAGACATAATATATTATATGTATTCATACATGTGCATGCAGTTACACTTCTGGGACATATCATCGTCTGTATATATGGTAGATGGAAGGCACAACTATGTATGCTGCAATAAGTTCATAGAGTACAGGTAAATATCAACAACTCATTGTACAGATGATGTCCATTGTGGTATCAACTGCAGTGTCAGTCTCGGAAAGGACGTCTAGGATAAGATAAGGCGTCGGTAAGATTGAGTGCTTGTTTATGTTACTTCCTCTCAATACACAAGGTCAAATACTTGTCTATGTTTCACTCAGAGTGATTCATTTAGACTGCGTCTGTCTTCACAGGACAAAGATTAACATGCTTCAATGTGACGGACTCAGTCCATCCAACATGACCCTGAAAGATCATTGGTTTAATGACCATAGTGTAGCGCAGCCTGAGGCCATTTCCCCCCACTCATCAAAGGGTAACCTCACAAATGTTTTATATTGGTTTTCGCCCATGAATTTGTTTTCAATTCTGAAGGACGCTGGACCTAAAGCATCAGTGAACACACATCCATTGACAGGTCTCACCGCGACCTCAATGATGCCGCAGTCTGTTCCAGTATCATGGATTTCAATCTGAAACACATCTTTTGGCTTAAGTGCAATATCTGAATATCTGTTCTTGAAAACAGCTATTTCTTTCTGCAGCTCTTTTGAAAGCATTTTCTGCAATTCATGTTTATTTCCTTGAAAGGGAAACGGTACTCCATCCATATCAACATTGCTGTTTGTACTTGTCTGGCCAACATACACAGATCCACCCTGCTTTCTCTTGGAAACGGATGTGACATATTCAGGAAGAGAACAACCATTGATGATATTATTCACCCATGTGCTTACGCAAAAAAAAGATGACAGCATGAAATTGCAGCTATAATCGACATCACTCTTGTCAAGATAGATCTTAACAACATCAGCTTGGTCCATATGAAGCAACCCTTGTACAGTGGGCTCTGCCGTTGATACTTTGCGTTTAGACATCAGAAGTGGCCTTAATTTTTCAATAGATGTAGATACATGTTTACCTACGCACCAAGCAAGCAGCTTTGTTTTCAAGTCAGCAGTTATAAACGTTTCTGATGGCAAAACATCTATTTTGTGAAAAAGTGCATCTCCATACTCTACAAGTTTCCATCTGAAGCCGTCCGAGATCATCTCGTCGTCAGTTAACATTGAGTGGAATATTGGGTCAACAGTCGGTTGAAATGACACCATTGCATGTCTGAAAATGCCTTTGCAAGTATGCACAAAGAGAGCACCACCACCTGAGTTTCTCATTGAAGATAAAGCCTTCTTGAACTGATATTCTGCAGATCGACTCAGCCTCTTTGTACTGTCGTCAACCTCTTCCCTGTGTAGGTGAATGAAGAATACATTACTGTTTGGTCCCATGTGATCTTTTTCATCCCTCCAAAACCGAATGCATGTTCCACAGTCATCTGAAATAATGAAAATGTTTTCGGTCAATAGGTCTATATTTGATTTCAGAGCAGTTACACTGCACAGGACATATTTTGGGTACGTTTCAACAACGATATTTGCACATGCATTTCAGGAATGCGATGCATGATCATCGTGCAATTCATCTGCATAAGGTTTTCAGTTGGTTCCACCTGGTTAGTGGAGAAATCAATCTTCGATGTAACCATTTATATACACATAGCAGTGTGAGGCTAAACTTTTGATGGGAAGTATATTATGATAGCAAGGATCGAAAGGTTAGGATGTATTAAAATACCTACACATCAGTATTGTAGAGGCCGGCAGTGGATGGAGACACAGAGCTGCAATAATAAGTTATTTCTGCTAGTAAGAATGCGCAAGTGACACAAATACATCTATCCTTAAAAGGACTGTTTTGCCCATTGTATAATATCGTCCTATATATAAACACACTGGAAAGCATTAAATATGATTATGGTCGCGGATATCAAAAGACATGGACACATACATGGGTAACCGAGCTTTCTTTGATGACATGAAGGTATCAAAAGCAACACAAAATGAACCAGCAACGTAAAAGTCAAGTCAAGAATACTCAACACTTAACAGCTTCGAATTCTTTATGGCATACTCAATCACAATGACTTGACCATAAAACCCGAAACGAAAATTAACCTTCCTCCGGAGGGATTTCCCATGCACTACTAACTGGTGAATGGCCCATCGAATGTAACGACTAACTAGTGAGTTTCACTTTAAACATAAAACGTTGCAATGAATGAGTAAACAAATTTTGTATGATTTGGACTATACCAGACATATTCGACGAGAAACAATGTTCCATTAGGCCAATGCGTAAGTTTATCCTGAATCGTAAGTAGGGACAGGTTTTTTTATGTTGATGATTTGAACTAAACGCCAAATGTTGGCTCTTTGGAAATGTTGGAAAAGAATGTGACCAGACGACACGCCTTCGTGACGAATAATGGTAATACTTCACTCAGCAGTGTGTCGACGCAAAGGGATCACCGAAGGGTGTAACATCAAAACCTCTACAAATTCATTGATATGTTACATATTGAGTAAGCTAATACAGTTCACCTTACCCAAAGGAAACACCGTCCTGTAGAGGGAGAAGGGACAACATTTTGCCAACCAGAAACAAACGAGCCTTTACCACAATGCTCTTTTACTTTTGGTTGGATTGCGAAAGACACGAAGAAAGCAGTTTGTTCCAGAAAGTTTGTATGTTTGTGTCGCAAATAGATATCTTTGTGTTACAGGGACACCCTGGTACCCATCGTGTTTGACATGTTCACCCCAAATACAAACAAACACGATGGGGATTTTACCCTCGCAAACTGTTGTTTCAAAACAAGTATGGAAGCTGTTTACAAATTGTTTATCGTCACTTTAGTTACTCACAATATAAGGTAACGTTTCTAGCAAACATCAATGTGTGCAATTATTATAGTTTTTGAGGGCGTAACAGAAACTACAGAACCAGTACATATAGTAGTATATAGATAGCTGCAAAAGAATCGCATGAAAGGATTTTCCATGCACCACTGCCCTAGTACCTTTAGGGCATGCCCCTAAATATATTAGTTTTGATGTTTGATCCCAAAAATTTGCCACATGTAACAACAAATATTGTTATTGATTTACTTGCACTTTAAAGTCTATTTTTGACTCCTATTTACGAACAGAGCAAAAAGTTAACCACAATATCTCAAGCAGAGAGTTAACTATTAACATAATTAGAAGGAAAGCAATATCAAACAATATATTATATTGAATTTTATTAGCGTCCAAAATGTAACGATGAACAAAGTTCTTCTATCGACATGTTAAAGTAAGTATTCTCATGGTGATTCCAGATATTTCCACACTATTTCGACAATAATACATGAATCGGGGTCTATTTACCTGAACGTGCAAGGCTCTTTAGTGATATGAAGTGCCCCTTTCTCTGTTCACGGTAGTCACCATCGCAATAGGTACAGCCTGTAATGAATCAATACACTTGCGTCATTATGTTATTATATTTATGTATAATCTGTCGTGTCGCATACAAATTTATAGAGTCAACAGCGTCAATATCGGGCGGAATGTCATGATGCAAATGTGCATTTCAAAAGTGAAAATTGCGCCATTTCATTTCTTTTTTCTTTTCTAATTTGTACGATGTCATTAAAGCGCTTTATCTTACATGTCAATGTGGGTCCTGTACCTTTCATCAGTTATTGACATTTTGCTTAAATATCAAATTTATGGCGAGCTAAAAGAAAATTATGACCTTTGAATTACTGGGTTTATTAGCGGCCCTTGACGTCTGTGTACCCGACCATAAACAGATGGCCAGGCAGTCTTAATGGCCATATAAATAAGATAGATTGATAACAACAAAATCATAATTTCCTACATGGCCATATCTAAAAAAGGTCAAGTATATATCATAATATGTTTTAACATATTTCTTCATGAAATAAACATGATCTGCCCTGGTTACCACCTCTGGGTTCAGCTTCGGTCAAAGTTCATTTCAACTGTGGTGCAGTTCGTGGTACAAGTCATGATAAACTTTCTAACGACACCAAAACGAAGCAACTAAGAGATAGAAGGCACTGTCAGAAACTAAGTCCTTTCATTAGAATTTTCAATCACCTGTTACCAGGTTATCTTTGCGACTTGATTCGAAGATTCGTTTCCGAAAGTTCAAACTACATCCTAAACAGCAATTCTGGAGTACGAGGTGTTTACTGTAGGACTGTTACTTATGCCAATCGTTTCTACCTGACACAAACCACTTATATCATTGTCTAACTAATAATTAGAAAGCGTTCTATACACTCTCTGTATTTAAAAAAACATGATAACAAGATTTGACAACAAAACACGATTTTCCTTAAGTTTTGAATCTCGTTTCTGTCAAATTGTGCACTGCCGCTTTAGACTCGGTTGCAGTCACCTCAACGCTACCATGCACCTTAGACCAGCCAGATTGTTCCTGCAGATATCACACAGAACACTTTCTACACTATTTCTTCATGTGTGTAATGTTTACAAGTAACATGTATTTCTATTCCCATGGTCACAAGCTGGAAATGCGTATGAATGGAAACGAATATTTTTCTGCTTCTGAATATAGGAATATTCTTAAATCAATCCACAATTTTATCACAACATCAAAATACCAGTGTGACTTGAATTTTAAACAGGGACATATATTTCTGATTAATCTGCCTATGTTTAACCATTCAGTAACACCAAATTGTATCTGACCAATTCCTTATACAAGTGTTCATCTTATAGATTCTGATAAAAATAGATATATACATCGCACCAATTTGTTTCACCATACTTCTGCGCTTCTGTATGGTAACGTATATCATGTTCTGACTTACAATTTGCATCATGTCTTGTATGGTAGCTGAGTTGATATGTGGTATAACAGCTTGTTCACCTAACAGTGTTCATTTATTGAATAATTACGCGTTTAACTCAATTCATTTTGTCTGAAATAAGGAAGTGACGGGTTGGCCAAGGGTATCATACGCGTGGTTGACGGGTTCCACATAGTTGAATAAAGCAGAGGAAACGGGTTGTAAATAAGGGAAATCAAGTCCTTGCCACTACCATATATATATATATATATATATATATATATGCGTGTGTGTGCGCGTGCGTGCGTGCGTGTGCGTGTATATGTAGACATCTACAAAGAGCACCCTAAGTATTATTTCAGTACATACAATTTCCAAAAATATTTGTCATCCAGATAGTTAATATTTAATCACAAATGTGTGTATTTTTGGTTGTGTCATAGACAGTTTTATTCTAAAAAATCACTACCAGTGGTACCTGAGAGAATAGAAAAGTTTACAACAATATATATAGTGAATAACGAGATGGAGTTGGAGGGAATGTACGTTGATTCATAAAGTTAACACATAAACACTTGGAAAATATATCAAGAAATACAGATATTACATACAAATTGGTGTAACTTTTAAACAGAATTACTTTCTTAATCGTTGTGATATAATTTTTGGGGAATAAGTTGAGATTGATCTTGCGTTAAAAACTTCACATTTAAACATAAAATGAGACTCCTCTGCAATTGTAGGAGAATTGCACAATGGACAAATTCTTTCTTCTCTGGGTACACCAATCCAGTGGTCAGTTTCAATCAGAAGGTTATGATTTGACGTTCTGAATTTTAAAACCGGAACAGATACTGTTTTAGATAGAAAAAGATAGGTTTCAAACTTTGGAATTGGTTTAAGGTAATGATAAAAATCGCCCTTAGGTTTTGATGAAATATTCTGCCTCCAATTTTGAATTACCTGGTCTTTTAGAACTCTTTCAACATTTGAGAATAACCATGGGTTACATTTCTTTGACCAACATTTTGCAAAATATGTTTTAAGACATTTACCCAAGGATATTCGTTATAGTTAATTTCAGAGTCTAGGGGTCTGCATATTTATATCTTTTTCTGCATATTTTACCATATTCCCACTTCTCAAACAGTGTCAAAAGCCTTTCAAAAATCAATAAATGCACAATATAGTCTTTTCTTTGAAAGGTTTAGGTAATGCATGAGCCAATGAAGAACGAGTTTTTTATCATCCGTTGTTTTCAAAATCCTGCCTGTATGGACGTCAAGAAAATTAGTTAGCCGCATGTTTAGAATTCTAGTAAATAACTGATCAATCATGAGCGGTATTGGGTATTTTAAGTCTATTTTTCGCTCTATTTATGTGTAGCGTAGGTAAGCACGTGCCTGATGCTGTCGGCGAACTGACTGTAAGATGATGTGGTTTACTTGTTCAGTGTCAATGTTATGAGCGAATGGTACAGGCTTGGATTCATCATACTTTGGGGGATTTGGACAATGACGGTAATCTGGTGTAAAACATTGGCCGTAGCAGAATTTTCTACTGATTTCAAGGTAAAGGCGACTGGACAATGTACATCTTGATATAAAGGTGAGAATTCCAAGACTTCAAGGTCAGTAATAGGGGTAGACATTTGGGAGACGCAATAATATTATCTATAACACTGGTATCTTTACATGTTGTTTTCCATACAAGTTTATCCTTACTAACTTTGCCGTTGCATATAAACTGTTCAACATATTAAAAATGTACACAATTGGGTCATTTGCATCAAAATTAGTAACTGTTTCATGGTCTTCTGTGCCTTGTACATGGGGCATACTTAAAGGTCACATGCAACCAAAAAATAAAAAATAATTGAAACACAATTATCACTTATTCGTGACATATAATATACATTGCTGTTTATGAAAAAAACATATAAACAAAATTATAAGCGTGCAATCGTAAATCAAAAGTGCAATAATTTGTACTTGGGTTTACTTCCCAAGAAACGAAGCAGCCGGGATACCCACCCCAGTCAGAGCAGGTGGGTGTGCACTGAAGTGTAACGGCTGGTTCATTTGCCGATGCCCTCACAGCTCATTGTGTGTGTGTATATATATATATAGATTTTGGGTTTTGTAAATACATGCTTATTTTTTGTGTATAGCATTTTGCAATCAACAGACATCATAACATGTCATGTGTACATGTATCACACCTGCCTGTATGTGTAATTACATAATGTGACAAACACCGAACTCGGGCCATAAATCAATGCGTTTTGTTTATGGTGTATAGCCTGATTGGTGTTAAGTTCAAATTGCATGTGGTCAGTGATCGAAGTTGTGTATTGAATATTGTCATTAGCAGACAGGCAGGCAGACACATAGGTGTCAATAAAACAGACATTGAGTTTTGTCTGTGACAACGACACATCTATATCACAGTTAGAAATTCTGTCAACGCTAAATAATATTGCTTTTAAGTATCGAACTGAGAAAGTGACTCGGTAAGAAGAACGTGTGGTGAAATAGACAAATGTTTTTATATAACCAGTTAAATCGGTAATCTACTGTCATAACATATAAAAAGCTCGCGCCTGTGAAATATCAACAAAACATTAGAAAAATAGCTCACCCCAAAGCCTTCACCGAGTATTCACCGGACAACCCGCTTCCAAGCTGCGCGAACCTATTTTACTGCTCATGTTCTATGAGCGCAGCCCGGCGCAGCGCAGCCCAGCTGTTGAAACCAGCTTTCCCCCAAGTGTTGCGGGAAAATTAGTGAATCGTTTGAACTCCGATTTTGCGCGGGTTTTTTTCCATCGCGTTATTTTTCAACTTTAAGTCCATACTGAAAGATATCAGAATCTGCAAAGTTGTGTTTTACGTTACATGTGACCTTTAATTTGTCAAATTCATCATTTTCGATGTTAACTAGGTCAAATTCTTTCAAATTATATTCATGAAACACCTTGTAATCTCACATATTACTAGTTCCTGAATCAATGTCACCACGTAGGCTAACATAAGGGTTATTTGGTAGGTATTTCATAACTGACTGTTCAATTCCATAGAATGTATCAGCAGTTGCATATTTAGAACCTTCTGGAGGTATGTAAACAACACCGAGGTACATATCTTGGTCTATGCCAAACAAAGCTTTATTTATTCTAATCCACAGTACCTAATTACAACTGTCTTTTACCTGTGTTAAAAATATTCTTTATATTTGTCTCTAACAATACCCCAAGTCGACACTATTGTGTTTAGGATTCGCTGAAGTGTCCTCGGAACCTCGGTGTTGCGATTGAGACAATGCAATTATTTCGATCAGTGTGCTGTAATAGTGCACTCTGCACATGGTACTGATACGGGTGTGAAACATATGACATATGTTTGTCAGAGGACATATGGGATAACTATACCATTTGGTTGTGATCAAAATTATTAATGTGTCAAAGAGCTCCTGAAAGACATCTACTTGTTAATTCGTCAATTATGTTAAGTATTGTTCTGTCTGTCATGCATGATGGGAGACGCAATGTAGCTTTTTTTCTGGTGTAGATAATCTTCGATTTTACACTCTGCTTTTCATAATCATGCATATTAACGTGAAAATTACGATAAAGTCAAATCGCTCAACACTATCAGACCCGTACACACCATATAATGGAACTTACAAGGAAGCATTCTTTCACCTACTTTCTTCAATTATAAACAACATATTCCCGGAAAATATTGACAAAATCTCAAGAGAAAATGACAAATCCTTCTGGCCCTCATTAAACTATCATAACAAATTAGATTAGAATTCCAAAATTCAAAGGCACATCCAACATCATACCAACAAACTACCCCCTAACAACGAAGAAATCTCGTTACAAAAGAAGCACAATTCCTCTGTGTAACTTTTGACCAACATCTCAAGTGGACACCCCACATTCATAACCTGGTTAAGACATCACAAATCCAAAGCACACGTTTACAAACTGACCAATAACACAAAGTAAACATTTGTAAAATACCTCATACAAAAACCAATAAACGAAACCTATAATTACTCCAGGTCAGGCTTTATTACTCGCTAACAAATTTAGACCATACCAGCCTTCTACAACGTCCGCTCACGCAAAAGCAAATAAACAAAACAACCAACCAAACAAACAAACAAAACTCTTCAACCTCGGATATATATAATCTCTTTTCCCCATTCAGTCATGCAATGTCTAGGCCACCCTTACACGCAATGTCATTTAAAGTGAGAGTTTTGTCATTTCCAATTACTCTGTGACTTGTATGTCGCAAAATCAATCCTGTAAAGTTCTGGCTCATAATTACATGATCAAATGTGCAGAAGAATGCAGTAAGTGAATAATGGAAGATCTGCAAAGAGATGTGTCCAACTACATAGTTTCACCTTAGTAAGAACACTAACTAATAGTATCAATTGACAGAAGAACGATCAGTTGGCATTCACACAGATGTAAGCAGTGTCCTTTTCCAGTCTGATATCTTCTGCAATCTTCTTTTAACAAAATCTAACAGTTTTATACTTATGTAAATTCAGTTGCTCTGTAATACATAAAGGAATCTACATAGTCAAACATACATCAGGTGTACAATTTCAATTTAGATGTAATTTCAATACATAGAGATAAATACTCGCAAGCATTGAAAACGCACCAGTCTAAAACTGTCCGTATTTTCATCAAGGTGGATTTCAGCATGACACAGTATTTGTCAAAGAGGTTGAGAATGAAATCTACTTGCGGACTAGTATCTGAAGTACTGTCCCATGTAGTCATATACGAAGGGAGGTTCAATGTAGGTTTTGGTATAAAAACAGGTAAACTGAGGTCTTACTTTCTGTTGAGTTCTCCTATCATATATAAGGAGATTCACTGTAGCTTTTGGTATAAATGCAGGTAAACTGTGGTATTACTTTCTGTTAAATGTTCTAAATGTCCATGCATAAGAACGTGTAACCTTCGCTAATTAATTTGCTGTTACTGCCATATGTATCTGCTAAGACAGTATCGAAAGCAACTATGACAATAACCTTCACCGATGCCGCCCAGGCTTTGCTCAGGGGGAATTTAACCTCCAAAGTGACAGTTCTGTGATTTCCAATTACTCCGTAAATTGTATGTCGCATAGTCAATCCTGTAATGTTCTGGTTCATATTCAGATGATCAAATGTGCATAACAATAAAATAAAATCTCCAAAGAGATGTGTCCAACTACATAGTTTCACCTTAGTAAGAACACTTACTAATAGTATCAATTGCCAGAAGAAAGATCAGTTGGCATTCACACAGATGTAAGCAGTGCCATTTTCCAGTCTGATATCACTGAATACAATACAATTCTTCTGCAATCTTCTTTTAACAAAATCTAAAAGTGTATTATACTTACCTATCGACTCCAATTCTGTAATGGATAAACGAATTTACATACTCAAACATACATCGGGTGTACAATTTCAATATGGATACGTAGAATTTCTAAACATACAAATATATTACAAACAATATTTATCTTCCAAATAGTTAATATTCTCGTATAAAAATGTGTATCCTTTTCTGATTTGTATATTTCTACTGAGCATGGGTGGTGAGCTTGTGGACGTGAATACCTCAAGTGGATATGCTTTTTTCTAGCATGTGCATAAATGTCTTTCGAAATTGGTTGTTGCTCATGGTTGAGATAATGACATTGCCCCTTCTTTTGTGAACCAATATAGGCATTCCACACCTTAGATATTGTTAAGGTTATCGGCCAAATGATGGACACATAACAAACAAACAAACCAATAAAAAACGAAGGGGTTCATGGTTTAACTATAGAACACTGTTAAGATCGAAATGTATTATTTGTCAAAGCGGTTCTGAATGACATCTATTTGCGGACGAGTATCTGAAATACTGGCACATCTAATCATATACGAAGGGAGATTTAATGCATCATTTGGTATAAATGCAGGT